GCCAGGAAGCGGCGTATGTGCAGAGTTAATGGATTGATGGGGCAGGGACTAGGCCAGGATTGAGGCTGTATCTCGGGACACCACCCTGCTCTACCATCACACGGATGAACCAGCGGGGAGGACACTGTGTCTGCTCCCAGACAGGCCTGTTGGCTTCCTCAGGCTTGGAGGCCACCCCTGGCAGGAGCCCACTCTGGCTCAGTTCACAGGAAACTCTGGGGCCTCTGAGGGCTATGCTGGGGCCCTGTGTGGGCGTGAGGCCTCCTCCAGTGGTATCCCAGATGTGAATGGTGATGGGGATAGGTGGGTGGGGGAAGCCACGGGGAAGAGGGCGGTATACAACCAGGCCTTAGACACAGAGAACACTTGCCAGTCTACTCAGCTTCCCCGCTAGGGGCCTGGGGTCTCTCTCTGAGGGGTCAGCCCGAAGAGGAGCAGGAGATGGCATTGATGAGGAAGCCCCGGGTCCAGGGAATGAGGCCTAAGCTGGGAAGGCCTCCGGCTCCTAGAATGGAGAGGGTCGCTCACTATAGTTCACTGAAGTGATAGGTGTTGGTGAACACAGTGATCCCACAGATGGCTAGCCAGCAGAGGGACACTGGGGGGCATCGGGGCCCTCTGAGACAGAGATGCCAAGTGGTTGCAGCCACCAGTCCATGAACTCCTTGAGGACAGACTATTTCTGGCCATCCTGCACCCATACAGGGCCTGGTTTAGAGTGGGTGCTCAGGAAATGCATGCCAGCCTGAACAGAGAAACATATCATGGCTGTGTGTCCTTGGATCTGTTCCCTAGCCTCTCTGGTCTCAGGGTCTTCCTCTGTGTCATGAGGACTGCATGGTCTCTAGGATCCCACAGACCAGGCTTCCTGCTCATCCGCCCCTGCGGTCCCATCTGGGTGACCAGTCCCAGGCCCTTCATACTTCAGCAGGGCAGTCCTCCCCCAAGGTCTCCCCACCTTATAGGAGCTGGAGCCTAGGACTGAGAGCAGGGCCTTGTGTCAGCTGGGCAGCCCCCACTCTCTGTGGCTGGCATGAGGCCCAGACTTGATGCTGCCATCGCCCCCAAGGCTGCAGCTCCTAGGAGGACCCAAGGTGGAGGATGGGGGAACAGAGAGATGGGGACAGGAAGAAAGCTAGGATGGTGACCAACCAACCAAGGCTGAGTGCCCTTTCCAAAGTCCTCCCAGCTGCCGTTGTCAGCAGACGTTGACTCATCACGGTGTCCTGTCCACAAGGTCAGCAAGTATTATCTCCACTCCACAGGGGAGGCGAAGGAGGCCCAGAGGGGGCCTGAGCCAGCTTGCCAGCACCCTACCCGTAAATGGGCCCTGCCCCCATTGGGCATGCTCCTCTTGGACTCACTCAATGGGTGAGCCGCAGGCAGGAGTGCCCCAGGAGGGGACTCACAGTCTGTATGTGGGCTCCTGTCCTGCCACAGCTCCAGGGTCCCTGCCCTAGACGAGTTAGAAGCTTTGGGAGAAAAAAACCACGGGAAGACATTAGAGCACGAAGAAATGGGAAAGGGGGGCGGTGGTCGTCGAGGGCTGGAGGGAACAGAAGAAAGCTTTCTGAAGATGACAGCTCTGGAGATGGGGCTTGAAGGATGGGGAGTAATCCCAAGCAGAAGAAACTCAGCTCAAATCCATCTGCACAAAAGACAAAGGATGTTACTGATTCATCCAGATGTTCACTTAGCAAAGTCTCCCGGGGGGCTGCTCTATCGTGCTGTCACAGCATCCTGTCCCCGGGACCGGGGGGACAGAAACCCCTTTGAGAGAGAATATGCTATCACCGTGGGTCAGAGAAGAGTCCCGGGAAGAAGAGACATCAGGCCAATGTGAGTGGTGTGCCAGCCCCCAGGTCTAGAGGGTGTCCACAACGGGTGGGTGGTATGTGGACGGAGGGAGAAAAAGAGGGGCTATGTTTCACCTGATGGGAGCTGGCCAGAGGAGGAGACCAGCCTGGGGGGTGGGTGTGGGGAGGGTGAAATGTAGCCCAGTAGACCCAGTGACCCACACCAGGGACCTGGGACTTGACCCTGAGGGGACAAGGGATAGTAACAGAGTGCTATTAGGCACAGGATAATCAAAGAAATCCCAGATTTGAGTTTGAGTCTCTTTCCCAGCATGACCTAGGGCAAGACATTTTCAACATTCTGGCCTCAATTTCTTTACCTGAAAAACGGGCATAGTTACAGCTCACTAGAGAGGTTGCTATGGGGAGCTAGATGACACGCACCAGCTGGGTGATAGGTGGTTGGTGGCCAGCAAAGCAACGGGACAGGGTATCTCGGTTCATGCGACACTTTCACCAATATTATCTCTCTCCCACAACAGCTCTGAAAGTTCTCTGGGGAGGGGGAGAGGGGGGTTCAAGAGGCTTCAGACACTTGGCCGAAGTCATGAAGCTGCCAGGTGACAGAACCTGGTTGCGTGTTTGGGTCAAATACGGAGCTGTGTCACAACACTACGCTGGATGGATCAAGGTGTGTCCCCCAGAGTCTCTTCCTGGGGTAAGGACAGTTTATAATTGGTCCTCCCTTCCCCTGGACCCAACAGAGTGTCCTGGGTGGGCACCGAATCTGCCTTGACCCCATGACTGATGTCTCTCCAAGCAGCCTCTTATCACCTTAGCCCACACGAGCTCCAGCTGAGCAGATGGAAAGTCCTCTCCTTTGTTCCCTCTTGGAGCTTCCCAGCTTCCAGACGCACCTTCCCTAGGCTTGGCCAGATAGAAGCCCTGTCCGCCTTCAGCTCAGCTTAGCTTGGTCCATCCATTCAAATCCATCCATCCCTGGAGGGACCTATGAAGTTCTCCCTTGCACTCAGAGCCAGGCTCTACACAGCATTCAAGGGAAGCCTTCCCAAGGTTTTTTTGTGGCATGACCAAGTGACTTCTCAAAGCCACCTAGCCACGAGATATCATTTCTGGCTCTAAGAGTGTTCTATCTTCATCTACCTGTCTGTCTTCTTTGTCTTAGCTAGGATCAGACTTGGCTTTGAATATTTAAGACTACACTTAACAAAAGCATAAGGTCTATTTCTCTCATAAAATTCCCAACACAGGCAGTCCAGAGCCAGTATGGAGGTTTTATGCTGTCAGTCCTCAGAGACCTGGGCTCCTTGCAGCTCAGTGATCCACCAGCTTATCCTCATGGTCCAATAGGGCAATCAGAATTCCAGCCATCACAGCTGCATTCCATGCAGCGTGATGGAGGAAGGATCAAGAAAAAAGGGGCAAGTGGCACAAGCCAGTTTAAGAAATACTGTTAGAAACTGACACAAGGGGCACCTGGTTGGCTCAGTGGGTTAAAGCCTCTGCCTTCGGCTCAGGTCATGATCTCAGGATCCTGGGATCAAGCCCTGCATCGGGCTCTCTGCTCAGCAGGGAGCCTGCTTCCTCCTCTCTCTCTGCCTGCCTCTCTGCCTACTTGTGATCTCTGTCTGTCAAATAAATAAATAAAATCTTTTTAAAAAAAAGAAAAGAAACTGACACAAGACACTTCTACTTGGTCTCACAGTCTGGCTGCAAAGGAGTCTGGATAGCCTTCATTCCAGGTAGCCAAGTCCCCAGTTAAAAATTAGGGGCTTGTTTACTGAGGAAATCAGGAGAATAGCCATTGGGAGTAACTATCTATTTCTGACACCTTGTCCGTCGAAAAAGCATTTTGGGGGGTACTCCTTGTACTTATCCATGTTATAGTACTTACAGTGTGATGAATACCTTATCTCCTGAGCGTCCAAAAGTGCCCGGCACCTCGAAGCTTCTCCCTACGAGGCAGGGATGTTATTACCCCTGTGTCACAGCGCTGAGAAGCGCACGGGATTCTGCGAGACTGCAGAAGAAGTCAGCCTGCCAGGCAGGGGAGTGGGGCACGGAAAGTTATTCTGGAGGAGGTCCCGCCTGGGCCATCAGGGGTCTTTCTGAGGCCTGGGGTCGTGGCCGTTTGTGGACTTCGTATGATCTCCAGCCCATCCTACTTTTTCTGGAGAATGTGGAAACGCATCCTCGCCTTGGCGCCGGTGACAACAGCCAAGAACAAGGCTCTCCGGGGTGAAGAGTCCAACAGGCATTAAGGTGAGGCGGTGAGTGCTGAAGGGCCTAGAATCTTCCCGCAGCCCTAGAATGCTCTCACTGTGGGCAGCCACAGGCTCCTCGACGTCAGAAGACAACAATGAGCAGTATCTCAACTGACAGAACCGGGGGAGCAACGGTTTGGTGCCTTTCTGAGGGGATCCAGAGAAAGGAAGAGCCAACCCCTGCCCTCCAGGGACATCCCTCAGCTGGCCTGGCAGGACGGAAAGGAAGCTGAGAGCTCGGCTATGTGGTCCTCCTGGGCCTCATGGAGGTGGAGGAGCCAAGGGTGTGTACCTCATGGCCTCCAGCTGTCAGGGACTCTTGTTGGAGGGCGAGCTGCTGCTGGCCGGCCCCCGCTCTGGGTCCGGGAGAGTGAGCTACCAATCCTTTCTGAGCACCAGGGCATCATGGGCCTGCACCCATCACAGAGAGCAAGGGCCCCTCAGTCCTTTTCCACAGGGTTCTCTGAAATTCCTTCCATCCTAGACAGTACCTCCTCTAAGAAGCCCTCTCTGACTTGCCTTGCTAGGTGCTTCCACAGCCCTCCACTGATGGTGGCTCTGACTTTCCCAGTCGTGGTGGCTCGTCTGTTCCCCAGTCGTGGCTCCTCCCTTCTAGTGTCCCGTCCCATGTCCCTCTAGATGTATCCCCTGTGCCTTGCACATACTTGGTGTGTAAACTTGGTAGCTATGCATCAGCTAACAAACATGGGTGAATAAGTGAATGAATAAATGAATGAGTGAATGAATGAATGGGTTTTCTAGCTGCCAGCAGGTAGATCCCCCATCGAGAAGAGGGAGGCCTGCAAGGGTTAACCAGGAGCCCGCCTGTGGTCTGAGGTAAGCAGGGAGCGTATTTGTTCAGGTAAATAAGGAAGGATTACTTATAATGGGAAATCAGGCCTCGCCAACTCTTCATCTCACGGCTGCTTGACCTCCTCCCAGCACATTCCTGCACTGTGCTCGTGTCCACACCGCCTTGCAGACCTGGCCCCCTGAGCCCACCACAGCCTCCATGTAAGCCCCTCGGGCTAGGTCTTGCCACCGTGCCAACAGGTGGTCCTGGGCTGGGGGCAGAGGACTCCCTACGGGGCACAGGGCCCCAAGATCTCAGAGGGAGCCAGGCCCCCAGCGGCCCACCCAAGTACACACCTCTGCCCCCAGCCCCGCTGGTCTTTGGCCCCACTGGTTCCCCCAGATGCCTGGTTGAGACCCAGCAGTGGCCTGCACTACCGACAGCTTCTCCTGGCCCCCCGAGGTGGGTGCTGCAGCAGACGACTCCCTGGGCACGAGGCAGCTAACAGGTGAGTCTGATGGGAACCCAGAGCGTGTGGGTGTGGGGGCTTGTCCCTCCCAGCTGTGGGGAGGTGGGTGACAGGGGGCAGCACTTGGCATGGACTGCGAGCTCAGAAGTGATCCCTGGGTATTGTTGGTCCTGTAATCCGGGTCCTTCACCCTCACGAGCCCCAGCCCCTGCCCAGGGGGCCCATTTGCCTCCCTGGGCGGACCCATGAGCCCGTGGGAGCCCCCAAGGCCATACCTTGAGCCCAGTCTGAACAGCCTGAAGGGAGGCCACTCTCTAGGGGCAGAGCCTCGGCCCCCAAGACATGGCCAGTTCTGCTTGGCTAGTAAAACACAGACAACCTTTCTGCTCTGCCGGCCGCCGCTGCTCTGCGAAGGGAAGGGTCTACCAGGGGCCCGGCCACAGTGGGCAGGGGCTTGCTGAAGCCCCGAGGCTCCGGGCCAGGCTCTAAGTTGGAGCAGGGGGGCCAGGCCCAGAGCCCAGGGGTTGGGGCAGGGCAATGATGGGCCTAGGACCCTGGTGGTCTGGGCTGCCAGGCAAAGCACCCAGGTTCAAGCACCCAGGGGAGCCAATGGCCTGAGACCCCCAGTCTGGGTGCACTAGGAAAGAAATGGGATGCCCTTGAAGAGGCTCCTTTGTCAGATTCACCAGATGCCTCTTGTGGGGAGAGAGGGCGGCGCTGGTGGTGATGACAGGGTGGAAGGCTGAAGGGTCTGGATGTTTGGGGGCTCCCCTGAGGCCGGACAAGGGGTGTGTGTTGGTGGGGGTGTGTGCTAACACGTGCATGGACATCTATCTGGGGGTGTGTGTTGGGGAGTGGGCAGGTCCACCGAGCAAGCCCTGGATCCCGTCACCCACCCAGCGGCCCATACCCAGGCCACAGGTCCCAAGGGGCCTGTCCCCTGTATGACAGCAATGGTCTTTCTCCTTTTCCTTGGCCAAGGCTGGGACCAGGCCTCATTTCCTGCCCCCACCTCCCCAATAAACAGCTTCACAGCAACCCCCAATAAAGCCGCATCTCCCCAGTACCAGCTGCTCTGCTGAGTAACAAAGCAAACAGGCATCAGGCTGACCCTGGCCTCCGCTGGCGGATGGGATGGGCAGGAGATGGCCCAGCCCAGCTGGGGGTGGGGCCAGAGCCAAGGACTCCTGGCGTGGGGTCTCATCACCCCCGACTCACAGAAATGTAGGGAGAAAGACAGCCTCAGTGCCCCCCTGAGGTGTTGAAGTGTGGAGGAGATGCTCGAGGGCAGGGGGGCAGGGGGAGGGACGTAGAAGCCACCCTCTCCTTTGAGAAATGACAGTCATTTCCTCTGCTCCAGGCACCATGGGGTTACCCAGAGGTGAGAACTCAGTCCCTGCTAGACTTGTGTACTGTGAGTTACCTGTTAGAAAATACTGATTATAGGGACGCCTGGGTGGCTCAGTTGATTAAGCAGCTGCCTTCGGCTCAGGTCATGATCCCAGCATCCTGGGATTGAGTCCCGCATCGGGCTCCTTGCTCAGTGGGGAGCCTGCTTCTCCCTCTGACTCTGCCTGCCACTCTGTCTGCCTGTGCTCGCTCTCACTCTCACGCTCTCTCTCTGACAAATAAATTAAAAAAAAAAAAAAGAAAATACTGATTATAATGACAAGGTGTGATAAGATATAATTATATAAATATATGTAATTATATAAAATATACAGTGTGATGCCATTTGATTGTCACAAGGCCTCTCTGAATGAGATGGAGCTCCTCTGTCCATCAAGCCTGCCGGAATAGGGTAGATACTCAGTAAGTGCTCAACTGATGATCCAAAATTGCGATGCTGGCAATAAGTAGAAAAAAACCACAGACCTGGGTGGCTCAGTTGGTTAAGCATCTGTCTTCAGCTCAAGTCATGATCCTGAGGTCCTTCAATAAAGCCCAGCATCAGACTCCCTGCTCAGTGGGGAGTCTGCTTCTCCCTCTGCTCCTCCCCCTGCTCGTGTTCTCTCTCTCTCAAATAAATAAAATCTTAAAAAAAAAAAAAAAAAGGAAAGAAGAACAAAATAGGAGAAGCCACTTTTTACCACTGAGATCATTGCAGATGTAAAGTTAATAGCCCTGAAAGAGTTCAATCCACATTTTGTGCTTAAATGACGTGGTGCAGCTTGAGTGTAACCTGGGGATATCATTTCAGACAGACCTAGGGACAAAGACACTCTGGGTGGAGGGGGCAAGAAGGGATGGGTTTAAGGTCCACCATGGATGACTTGGGCCAGTCATTTCTCCTCCTCGTACTTGTAGCTGGTTGTCTGTGTAATGAGAAGTTTAGACAAGGGTTTTGCAGGCTGTGTAGGAGTTGGTGGAGGCAGGACAGCCTGCTGGATTTGCCAGCGCTCTAAGATGGGTGTTTTCCCAGCCTTGTCCCCTAGACTGTCTCCTGGCTCTGGCTCCTCCTAGAGGCTAGGGAAGGATGAGTGAGGCCCACAGCTGCCCTGGACTGGGCTAGAGAGCAGGATGACCTCAGGTAAGGCCCAGAGGGCCCCCCTTTCTGGCCAACCTCCACTCTTCCCCAGACTCCACCTGCCATCACCTTCTTCCTTTGTTCCCCTCATTCCTCACCCCACTACCTTTCCCTCCCCTCTTCCCACCCCATCCCCTCACCTGCTCTCAGGTGTCACCTTCCTGAATGTTCAGCCCATCTCAATTCACAAGGGATTTTCATCCACTTTGCCCTTAATCTTCATAACATCTTAAAGCAAGCCCTTGACAGCCCATTTAATAGGCAGGATCACTGAGTCTCCAAGGAAACCAAGTCACTTACACCAGTCCCTGAGCTAGAGAGCAAGGAGACGGGGTTCAAAACTGGTCTGGGACCCTCACCCTGCCCCCACTGTCCCCATCCCGTTCTTCGCCCCACCCTGCACCCCCAGCCAAGTGAGCAGCCTGTCAGGTAGAACAACTCTTCCCAAAGCAAACTTTGCACAAGCCGAGTTGCCCTGGGCTCTTCCTGACATTTAATGCTGGGCTCCTTCCCTTGCCTGTTTGCATGCTCCCTGCTCAGGAGGTGCCCCCTGCCAGATTCTCCTCTCCCACCTTTCAGCAGCTGGGTGGGGCCTCCAGACAGGGGCGTGGGGGGGGGTGGCGGGTGAGCCTCCTCGTCACTCCTGACCTCTCCTCCCCTGCCAGGGACCTGAGCGTGACTGCTGGGAACCAGACAGACCAGAGCCTACCCAGGACCTTAGTGAGGGACAGTGAGGTCTCTCTGGCCGCCACCAGAACTGGGGAGCCCTGCCTTCTCCCTCCAGCTCTGGAGTTCAGGAGAGGGGACTGGGGGTGACTGCCCAGTTAGGGTCTCAGCACCTGGGACTAGTGACATGGGTGGAGCCCTAGGTCTCTCTGCTGTTGGGCAGCAAGATCTTCCTGCCTTGGACTCCCACATCCCCTTCTCAGGCTCTAGGACAGGAGGGCAATGTGTTCCTGCTGACACCAACAGGTGGGGGTAGGCCCCAATAACCCCCTAATTCCCCGACCATTTAAACCCCCTTCTCATTTTTTAAGATATTTATTTACTTGAGAGAGAGAGAGAGCATTAAGGGTGGGGGGGAGGGTCAAAGGGAGAAGCAGACTCCCTGCTGAGCAGGGATCCTGATGCAGGACTCCATCCTGGGACTCCAGGATCATGACCTGAGCCGAAGGCAGACGCTTAACCAACTGAGCCACCCAGGCCCCCCTAAGCCTCTTTTTGAAGCAATGTCTGTTCTTAACCTCTCAGGCAGCTCATTCTGGACTTTGATTGTTTTCTGCAATGTTGGAGTGCTTTCCCTTTGTCCTGAATCCCGCCTTCCAAGGCCCAAGGTGTGCTCCCTGGCCCCGTGATTAGGGCTGAAGGCACATTTTCTCCCTCGGCCCTGTCAAGATTTTATGGATTTCCCAACCCGAAAGCTGCCTTTCCAGTGCTGTGCCTGGCCTAGGGGCAGCTGCCGAGGCACATGAGATGAGAGAGGAGGGGAACAAATGTGTTCACACACCTCTGGGAGATTGCAAAGTCTGTCCTGCCAAACCCCAGAGACACAGTCGTCTTTGAGTCCCCGTGTCACTGACAAGGAGGCTGCGAGGATGAACCACAGTGCCATGGCAGAAGCCGGCACTTCTTGTGCAACCCTGTGTTCTCACACCTCCGGGGACCCAGCTGGCAAGGGCTGCCCAGCCGAGGCAGGAGCGTGGGGACCCTGAGCGAGGGCAAAGGAGCTTGAAGGGGTGCTGGGACATGAACTTTATTTGCACCAGGCATGTGTTCGATGAGGGGTTGAATGGAGAAGTGATTTGCAGTTTCTGTAAAGCCCTGAAAGTCAAGCAAGAATTGAACTTGACCTGGCTGAAAACTGGGGCTGTGGCCTGACCGACCACCCTAGCATCGGTGACTCCAAGCCCTGAACTTGTCTGGGGGCTGGGGTTTCTGGTGGCTGTGTGAAGTGGGCAGGGGATGCTGCTAGGGTGAGACCCCACCTGGCGGGTGATCTGTGAGACAGCCTGATCGGAAGGCGGGGCCGAGTCTCTCAGAGGAGGGAGGATGTGGGGGGGGGGGTACACAGCCATACCCTTATTCTGCCCAAATGTCTACCACGAATTGGGGTCCACCTCTGTTTCTCCATGATCTTCCTTCCAAGCCAAGCTGAGGGGCAAGATGGGGACATAGGATCATAGAATCTGGACAGTATCTGGGTTAGAAAAGCCCTGAGTGATGACTCCCCCGCTTCGGAGAACTGAAGAGGGCCCCAGGCACTGCCCAAGGCCTCACACACAGCATGAACAGAGCCTGATGGGACCGCATCTCCAGATGCTGAGGCCACACCCCCTCCCCCTTATGAGCAAACTCAAATACAGGGGAGAGCTTGGGGCTGAGCTGGGTTCCTGCCCCTCCAGGCTGCAGCCCTCCATGCCACCCAGAGCTGCTTTCTAAGGGACTGGGTCAGTGGGTGGCCTCAGCAGAAGTGACAGGTGTGGGCAGCTGGGGAGACCCTCGGGGCTGGGAG